CTGGGTCAGCTCTGCCAGCCCTGCAAACACGCTGGCCCACCTATATCATCAACAAGAGCTGTGTGAGCCATTTCTTCTTCATGAACTGAACAGATTCAGCAGAAGAAAAATTATCTCCCCACCAGGAGAGAACAGCATGGGAACAGCAGTATGAATTGATGACCAGCCCAAGCTCACTGGAGGATGAGAAGTTGTATACTGTGGTCTGAGATAAGCAGATATTTACTAAGTCTGAGAGGTGGTTGTGTGAGATGAGAAGCACAGTAATATGGGCCTGACTTGGGACTGCCGCTAGTTTATTTGGATGTACCTGACTTGAGACTGCTGCTTCAAGTCGTGCATCCTTGCTAACAGAGCCTGAGACCTTCACTCAAGCTCTCTGAAGAACTGAGGATGGATATCATGGTTATTGTATATTGCTGTCAACCTGTATAGCCGGTTAACACGGGCTGAGGAATTTTAAGGTTATTGATTGTATGCTGTTGCTTGTTGCTATTTTGAATTATGGCCTGTTAACTTCCCTAGTAATCCCCACAATCAAACCTCACAATTATGAGTAAGGTTCTGAGAAGTCTGTGTGGTCACTGCAATGCATTTCTGATCCTGATATTAGTAAGACTGGTGTTAAAATTGGTTAAAGTAAGTACAGGAATGTAAGAGACCATGTCTGACCTTGCAGGTATTAGTTTAATCCTGTGCATGTTGTTTACGGTGACATTTCCCCTTTGTGGAGTCAGATGTCAGACTCAGCTGTCTCCATACTGCCCTTGCTTTAATAATACCTTCCCTGTGTAACCCTCTCACAAATGGTTAGATAAGGTTAGTTCTGAATCCCCCACAGGACCTATCACTTTGTGAGCATAGCTAACATCAGATCTGCTCTGTAGGCCAGGTCAGGGAAAAAGTTGGTACTCAGACTTCCATTAAGAAATTTTTTTATTGATGTGATTAACAGAGCTATGTGTATCTTAATGAATTAATACATCCTTTTTATCTTGAGTCTATAAAGGAAAGGAGTCTTTGTGAATTGTCTCTGTGAGTTCATGACATTCTGACTCCAGAATCAAGCACTTACAGCTGGAATAGCGTACTACTAGTACTAGGTTTCTGGGAGTCAGTGTTGGCTCATGGTGATCCCAGGTATGTCAGAGTAGAATTGCGCTAAAAAGGATTTTCAGTGGATGATTGTTTGGAAGTAGATTAGCAAACTTTTCTTCAGAAGTAGCTTCTAGTTGACTTGAACACCTAAACTTCTGATTAGTAGCTGAGCCCCTACTACCCACGAACTCCAAATTGCTAGACAATGATTGTTCTTATATGTTTTTATTGTCCTATTTCCTGACTCCTGTCCCTAATTACATACTAGGGACCCGGCTGAGGCAGTGCGTTCTCGAGAGACCACACCAGGCTCAATTGCTAGGCTCAATTACTGGTATTTAAGTTTTGCTCATCGTGCTAAGTGTCCAAGGTGAGTTCATGTGTTTATTTCTACACAAAGAAGTCATTTTCCACACCAAGAACCCAGTGTGCCATTGTAGATCAGCTCCAGAAGGTAAAGGAAAATGCAGAAGATTTCAGAAATCTGAGAAACACAAGTCCTAGCCCAAACATAATGACAAAGTAGCTAAATATTGGAAAAAATAAGTACATTTTCAGTGACCTATATGAACGCCTAAACTCTGAGCTGACAGCTGCACAGGCATCGACTGGACTTTCAATCACTCTGTCACAGACCCTGGCAAGGGTAAGACTACAGTGTCCAGAACTAAAAACTCTATCTCTCACCTGAGACTTCGCTTTTATACCTCTGCATCAACCCAAGGCAGAGTCAACAAACTTATTGAGTTGCTGTTGCTGTAAAAACTCAAAAGGATAGTAGAGGTTAGAGGCTGGAAGCACAGAGCAAACCTGAAGTTCTCTGGCATGATCAGCAGCCACAGAGGGTGGGCCCTAATTAGTGCACAGAGCTGGGTTGTGGTCTGCACACTCTTGCTAGCCTTGCTCTCTCTCCACTTGTTCCTTCACAGTCATTATTCTTTACCCTTCCCTTTGTCTCTAAATCTACTGCTCACCTGAGTATAGCTGTATCTCCATCTTTGTATAAACAATGGTTTATTTTTCCTCCCTTCTTCTCTCATTCCTAATTATCTCCCTTTCGATTGTACAGACATTCCAGTCATTCTTTCTACAAAAAACTGACTAAGGGTTGCTAAGCCCAGTGGAGAACAAAACAGACAAATCTTTCCTTCTTGAGCTCATCAGCTTTGGGCAGACAGGTAATGAATGAACACTAGAGAAAATGTATTTAACCAAATATCCGGTGTCCTGTATGAAAAAGATAAGTACCATTGCAGAAAATTAACTGGGGAAGGGAGCTAACGGTCAGAAGGTGCTCTTGGTTAAGGATCCAAGAGCAACATTTGCTTGGTGGTACCGGAAAAGAAATGACCAAGCTCTTCATTCTATATGTGCCTGTCTATTCTTATCCCTATTCTGTTTCCTTGTTTTCAATTCTTTAATTTCCTTCCTTTGCCTATCACCTAATTCTTTATCCACTTTTTCCCTGTCCTTTACAAACAATATTGCTCTTGCTTAATTGAGCTCCATTAGAAAACAAATTATAAAGATTACACTTACTGACAAATTTTTGTGCTCTCCATTCTTTACTTACCATATGAAAAGTGTATCTCTTCCAGTCAGTATAGATAGCTAAACATTACTTATTAAGTGCTGCTAATTTTTTTTCTTTTATATTTTAGTCATTTAGCCATATTAAAAGTTGAGATTTCCTGCTCTAGACCAGTTCATCTCAACAATAAATGTATGGAGCTCTGGAGGCCTAGTGGCATGAAGCTGTGCTGCAATCCTGAAGATGAGTGGTTCTAATCCACCAGATGAAGAGGGGCAATCTCCTCCTGTGCCAGTCGAATCTGATTCAACAGTACACCACAAGAACAAAAACAAACAAACAAAAAACCACAAGAAACAGGAGCACACTGACAGAGAAATTGAAATCGGAGGAAAAAACCACCATATTATTTAATTAAGAATTTGCATTTACATACCAGAGACAGTGTCTGAGTTGGAACACTCTACATATCTAGACCTCCTTTTTTCTATGTCTAACTTCTCATTTCACATGCCATGTTCCATTTATCATAGTACAGGAGTTGTGAATATACATAAAAAGGTCAAAGAGCTCAACAAGTAAGTATAGGAAGAAGTAGTTGTTTATAAAGTAAGTTTGTTACAAGTGGCAGAATATCCTGTTTGAATTGCTAATATTAATATCAAAAATAAAGAAAAGAAACCTCATTTACAGAAGTCTCTGAATATGTGTCTTTAAAACAATCCTCTGAAAAATTAATTCCTTTAGTTCTATTATTTTTTTTTAAATCCAGTGGAAATACTAACAGAAGTATTTCTTTATCTTCCTGGAGATTTATCTTCTTGATACTTGAATGATTTCCATGTTTATGACATTTAGAAAGCATGAGAGAGAAAAAAAAAAGCCTAGATAGCTGAATACTTTTCTGTCTTTAGATATTTACAGAATTTCCTGGGAACATGTACTCGCTGGCTGACAGGGTTAAAAAACTGACTAGTTGTCAAAAAAATTAGCATTTTCACTGAAGTTCTCTAACTTTACTATGTGTTGTCAATCACAAATCACCACATTTTTAACCATAATTTTTTATCCTTATTTTTCTGTGTTTTTTCTTGTCAGACAGAGATAATACATGCTATTTAATAGTTTAAAAAAAACATTTTCAAAGATTCTACATGGAATAATATTTATTTCTTTTCTTTAAAAAGGTGTTTATCTGTAACTTAGAAGAGAAGGAGGAAGAACAACAGAGGATGTTCAGAATTCTGACCATTAAAGTTGAACTAGTCATACAGGCTGAAAGATCCCGTGGACTGTGAGCACCAATCTTGGCCACTTGCTAACAGGTCTGGACATTTCTAGGCAAGTCCTCAAATTCCCCACCCAGACTGATCATGACGTCTGTGCAAGCCTGTGGAAATGTCTCAGATGGTAAATTAAGAACTCATGCTGGAAACGCAGGCCTTGGCAGTGGTTACTCTTGACAATCTCATGCTTACTTAAACATGGATACATACCACCAGAGATAGATAATGAGTGCACAGTTGTGATGGTTAAGATTACGTGTCAGCTTGTCTAAGTCATAACTCTCGGTGGTTTGACAGACATTTTGTGATGATGTGAGCAGCCAATCTGTTCAAAAGGGAGTTTTCTTGGGAGTGTGTTCTGCATCCAATTTATATGCATATTCTGGTAAAGCACTCTCAGCTAGACAGTCTTTGATCTCCAGCTCTTGGAACATTAGACAACCATGGTTTGGCATTTACTGTACCCCTGTAACTGTGTGAGTCAGGAAAAGTCTTCAGCCTGACACCTAACATGTGGATTTGGGACTCCATACCTGCATGAACAATTTCTGTGGCATAAGTCTCTACAAACTTAAATTCTTTTCTGTCAAATAGGAATAAACTCATTGGTGGCTCTCTAGTGGGTTTTCAAAGGCTGTCAATCACATGAGAAGAGATTTCCAATTTCTCCCACAGAATCACTGCTGAATTCAAACCAGCAGAGATGTATCACCTTGCAGCTCCCTACAGACTATGCCATGCTTTGTATACATACTTTGCCAGTTTTGCTTCACTAGAAAAAGCCAGTCTTATAAACATGTAAATTGAGAAGAAAGCTACAACCAACACGGAAAGATTAAGATATTGTGCCAAGCAATCCAGTCTAGTGCTAGCCTAAGTAATATTCTCCGTTCTGTTCAACATAATTGCTGGTGGATAAAGAGTGGATATCAAACCATTATTCAAACTATTATGCTAGAATTTGACCAACAGAACTCTTGAAATACAAAACTAGATTAGGCTCAGTATTGCATTCATAAAGTAAGTACTATCTCATTCTATGTTTTACTTTGATAATCTTTTACATCCACCCAGTATACTAAGACATGGAACAAGTAAATAAATCCACTGTCACAGATTTCATTCTTCTGGGTCTCTTCTCTGACTCTCGGCACCCTGGCTTTTTTGTTGCCATCATCCTCCTGATTCTCATGGTGGCCATCACTGGAAACTCCGTCTTGATTCTGCTGATCTGGGGTGATACCCACCTCCACACACCCATGTACCTCCTGCTCAGCCAGCTCTCCCTCATGGACCTCACACTTATCTCCACCACCGTCCCCAAGATCGTTGCTGACTTCTTCTCAGGACACAGAGGCATCTCCCGCATCGGCTGTGGAGTTCAAATATTTCTATACTTGATGTTAGGAGTGGCTGAGTGCGTTCTTCTGACTCTCATGGCCTTTGACCGCTACTTGGCCATCTGTAGTCCTCTGAGATACCCAGTCTTCATGACGCCCAGAGTCTGTGTGCAAATGGCTGCGAGCTCATGGGCTGGAGGTGTTCTTATCTCCCTAATGCACACAATTTATGCCATGCATTTTTCTACCTGTGGCTCTAGATATATTCACCATTTTTATTGTGAAGTCATGGCTCTTCTGAAGCTTTCTTGTGAGGACACTTCCACTTATGAGAAGGTGATATTGGTGTCAGGCATTGTTTTCCTTCTTATCCCTTTCGGACTCATCCTGACCTCCTACACTCTTATCTTCCTCACAGTCCTCCAGATGAACTCCTCTGAGGGCAATAAAAAAGCTTTGGCTACTTGCTCCTCTCACCTTGGTGTGGTGAGCCTCTACTTTGGTCCAGCCATGATTATCTACATGACCCCAGGTTCCTCCCTCCCCCCAGAGGTGGATCAGCATCTTTTTGTGTTTGATGCCATCATTACTCCTATGCTGAACCCCCTAATTTATAGCCTTAGGAACAAGGAGGTGGTGGGATCTCTGAGGAAGATGCTGAGGGAAAAGCTTACTGTTAAACAGGAAAGGAAATAGTTTTTAAAATTTAAAACTCTTAAAATAAGGTTCACTGTTGGCCAAACATCCTTCTGAAGACCTTTCCTAGATTGACCTATTTTATTATCTCCATGATTCAGTGTGGTGGATACTATAATTATGTCAACTTTCCAGATGTGGAAAGTAAGACCAGGATGTCACTTGACACAGTTACACAGAAAGCAAGTGTGAGATCCAGATTTGAAACTATCCTATTTTTCCTTTTTATTGCTTTTTAAAAATCAGGCCCCACAATTTGATGGGGGTGGGGGAATCGGAAGAATCTGGTGTGGAAAACAATGTATTCGAATTTTGTAAATAAACTAGTACAATAATTTTAAAAATCTGGATTCCTAATTCTTTATGGAAAAATGTAAAAAATTTGCTTTACTCTTTCAGATTTTATTTTACCTACACCATTAGGAAGTGATAAAATCCTTGTTTCAATGCCTAATACTGTTAATTGGCTATATATATCTCAGGAGAAATATACATAGTTCTCTAACTGTCCATGAAGAATGTCCTCATGAGCCTTTGTAAAGAGAACTTTATTAACAAAGTCATTTGGGAGATTTGTTCAAACTCCATATTTATTGTTACCACACCAAACTCAATGACTACTAATCTCCAGAGAAAACTCTGGCCATTTTAGCAAGGCATATGGAGAATCATATTACATTGTATGGACAATACAATTATAGAGCTCTGTTCAATGATAGAGCTTAAGCCACCATTCCTGCTTCCTGTGTTCTGAGCCTTCTTCCGTTTATCCTGCACTGCAGCCTTAGTGGTATATTCCAACACTTTGAAAAGGCATCACATGTTCTCTTGCTCTTCCTTCAACTTAGAGTAACCTCCACCTGCAATGACTATTGATGGTCAATACTGGTCATTTCCCAAATGCACCATTGTATCTATCAACTTCTCTCTGTGTCCTAGTGGCTCAATTTGTCTCTAGTAGACTCATTCTTCATGGACAGTTAGAGAACTATGAGGTATCTGCCTGTATCAACAAGGATCAAGTCATCTCTTAGAAGTAGACTCAGTTTGAATCATCTTTGGGCATCTTATAGATTTTTCTATCTATATATGACAAGAGAAGCTTTGGGGGTGTAATGGGTAAGGAGTTGCAGTGTCAAACTGAATGCACGTGGCTCAAATCCACCAGCCACTCCTTGAGAGAAAGATGAGCAATCACCACCCTTAGGATTTGCAGCCTCTAAAAAAACCACTGGAGGGTCAGCTATGAGTCCGTTCTGACTCAAGTGCTCATAACAACATTTATTACAATTAAGAATTTGTTGGGCTGAATTTCTCCTTTTTTATCTCTCTTTTATTCTATATTGAATTGTTTACAAAGTTTGTATATGTTGTGTTTCATGCTATTCTCCATTCGCATTGTGTTTCATACAATCATTCTCATGCATTATATTTTATAAAATTAATCACTATTAGACATTGCCCATCATTACCTTTTTTTTTTTTAACCTGGATCCTTCCCATTTCCTTCACTCGCTGGACTGAATTTGTTGAAATGTTTGTATTTCTTTCTTAAATTCTGATAGGGATTTCCAAATTGTTCCTTAGAAAGTCCTGGTAAATTGAAACTCTTAAATCATGCAAAGATTGACTCTATATTTTTAATTTCCTAGGGCTACTGTGATAAAGTACCATATAGTGGATAACCTATAAAAATGGAAATTTACAGTGTCACAGTTCTAGAGGAAAGCAGTTAGGATTCAGGTATCAACAGGACTATGTTCTCTCTCTGAAGTTTCTAGAAAAGCTTTTCTTGTCAATTCTAACCTCCATTCTCCCCACACTCTCCCTGAGAGTGTGGTCATTTTTCCTCCATCAGTCTCCTTGTGTCTTTTTTTCTCTTTTATAAGGTTATCATTAATGCTGAATTAGGACCCATGACCCTGTATGACTTCATATTAGCTTTATAATGTCTTCAATCACCCTACTTACAAACAAGATCATGTTCATGGACACCAAGAGCTAGGGCATCATCTTATGTTTTTAAGAAGATACAGTTCAGCCTATAACACTCTTATTCAATATGGTTTTCCCAAATGGAGAAGAGTAGGAAACTAGACTGATGAAAATCTGGATAACACTCACAAGCTTCACCCACACAGTTGTTTTGCTGCCCTTCATTCATTCATGTATTATCTCACATCCTCACACATTTTTCCACACTGACAACAAAACATGTATCATAAATGCCAACTAATCAACTCCAACTAACAAAGGTCTTTTAAGTGTCAAGTAGGACTGGACTTCACAGGATTTTCAATGACTGATATTTGGAATTAGATAACCAGACCTTTCGTCTGAGGCAATTTGAGTGTTATGGAATCCTCAACTTTTCCATGACCAATTGAGCACACTATGTGTTTGGACCACCTAGAGCCTACTCACAAATTACTCGTTCTGGATCTCATCCTCTGAGATGTAAATAAATTTGGTACAATTACATTGTACTGAAAGTCAATATGAGATGATCTCATGATCTTACTCTATTTCAGAAATACAAACCAAGAACAAGATGTTTTGTCAGAGAATGCAAAATCAATCAAAAGCGAAAACGTGAGCAAGCAAGAGCCAGCGCCATACAGAAAAATAACACAGCATTGAGAATTTATAATCATAGTTAATAAAAAAATACTCCAATTTTACATTTTCCTAAATTGTGACTATAAGTTAAACTAAATCCTAATCAGCAGAAGCATTTCAGTTACTAGAAGAAATTATTTTATGGAAATGTGACTGGTAAAAATCTGAACTAATATAAATTAATCTTTGCATTTGTATTTTCACTTTTTAAAATTATTTACCAGTCACCGACTTTGGCCTTTGATGAACCACAGCACATGTAATATGAATAACTTTCTGATGATTACTATATGTTTATTATGGCATTTTTATATTGGAATTTGGAATTAGTTTCTTTAATTAACTTGAAAAAATTATTTTTGTAATTATTCTGATTAGTATAGCATTTGTCTGTCATTTTTCTGTACTGAGATAACTTGTGGGTGCTATGATGCTGAAAGCTGTGCCAAAAGTGTGCCGAATGAAAGAGGGGTCACCCATGACAGGTTGGTTTTTTTACTACCAGTCCTTCTTTGTTTACAACTTCTGCACTCTAATCATTAGTTATTACTAAACATATTTTGATTAAATGTTTAATCCATTTCCGACTGTTAAACTTGGTAAAATTTTTCCATTTCTGTATCTTTGGCTTTAATGGTTGGTGCATAAATTTGAATAACAGTCATATTAATAGATTTTCTTTCTATACACGTGTATCTTATCCTATTACTGACAAAACAATATAGGATAGATCTTCAAGTGCTATTTTTGGTCATAAATATTATCTGACTATTCTTCTGAAGGGACTTGGTAGATGAGAAGGGTTATCCTGGTGGAGGGTGGAGCTGGGAAGTAAGTGGGTCAAGGCACTGGGCTAAGGGTGGGGTCAACACTTTAACTAATGCTTACCCC